ATTTCTATGTTCTGTAAGGATTCCCAGGTGTATATTAGAGCTGCTAAGGGACTAGGTTGTAGTCACTTCTTGGTCACAGCCAGCTACCCAGAGGGACCAAGTAGTTAACTGGTGAGCTCGGGACCATAGTCACAGGGCACATCAAGCTCAATTGGCATAACATACTACACAAAACACTGTTCTACCTCCTACTTTGGTGAGTAGCGACTGGGATCTTAAACGCTTGCAAGCAGCCATTTAGATGCAACAATGGGTCTCTCCTCGTCCAGAGCAAATAAGAATGAAGAAAACCAAAGATTCATGGAAACAATTAGTCCTAGCGACTGGTAAAGCATGCGCTCCACAGGGTATACGACTGTAAGAGCAGAAGAACTAGATGGTGCCCAGCTATCACTGTCAACCACTCAGAGGGGGATCTATTTAAGAGACCCTGGATAGAGAGGGAAAACAATGTAGAACAAAACTCAAAATCATTTGGAAAAAAAAGGAGGACCAGGTTTGATGGTCTGATAGAGCCTGGTGGAACCACTGAGACTATGGCTCTTAGCTGCTCTTCAGGTCTAGAACTGAACCCACACCTGTGGCTTCCAGCCAAACAAAAGACAGGTATATGAGTTGAACATTTACCTGATGTAGATGCACTCCTTGGAGAGAGCAATCATGGGAGTAGGAGGAGCTGTTTATGTACAGGGAGACAGCTCAGGGGGCAGGAGTGCATGGAGAGATGGACACAGGGAAGAGGTGCCTATCAGGGGAAAGTGGTAGGAGACCTGCTGCACTGGGGTAAATTGTAGTCAATATCATGAGACAAAGCTTATGTGAACTGCTGTATGGAAAGTGAATTTGCTCTGTAAATTTTCACCCAAATCACAATTTAAAAAACAAAAAGAATAAACCAAGTTGAGTGCAAACATATGCTTACCAAAAGATAAATGAACTGATGCTATTTTATCAAATCTTCAAAAATAAAATGTGCTACTTGGTAAGAAACTACAAAGAAAATCATTATAGATAGAATAGGCACGAACAAAAACAGCAGACCTGTAAAAAGCTTCAACATAAAGGAAATACATCATACAATAGAAAAACTTTTCATTAGTGTTCTAAACTAGCACAAAATAGGCACTCTCACTTAGATTTAGAGTTTATGTGAAAATACATTAGTGTCCTAGCACTGCTGTAACAGATTACCACAAACTTGGTAGCTTAAAACAATACAAATTTATTCTCTCACAGTTCTAGATGCCCAAAGCCTGAAATAACTTTCACTGGGTTGAATCAAGGTGTCACACTCCCTCTGATAATTCTAGGGGAAAATATGTGCCTTGTTTCTTCCAGCTCTTTTGACTACCATTATTTCTTGGTTTAGGGTCACATCACTCCAATCTGTGCCTTCATGGTTACGTGGCCTTCTTCTCTGTGTATGTAAAATCTCCCTCTGACTCCATCTTATAAAGACACTTGCGATTGCATTTGGGGTCTACCGGATAATACTGAATAATCTCCCTAAACCAAACTCCTTTACTTAATCATATCTGCAAAGTCTTTGCCACAAAGTAACACTTACAGGTTCCAAGGATTACAATACAGATGTACTTTAGGGGCTATTTTCAGCCTATCATAATATGGTAAGTATTATAATACTGTAAGTCATTTCCATAGCTGTAATACTGCCAAAAACAATAAAAATACATAAGACATATGCATATTACCTCAATTTTTTTCAAAATGTCTCTACTCACATTAGCACAAGAAGCTGCAAAAATATTATATTTAAAGTAAAAGACTATAGAAAGAAAATGTCTACTAGGCAAAGCCTTAAAAAGCGATTTTTCTTAATAATTTTAAAATACTACTCCTTGAAATGCATTAATGAAGTAATGTCGTAACTCCACTTTATTCCATATTTTAAAATTATATACAAGATACTACCTCCAGATCCTAATTGCTTGTAGAATCTGTATTCCAAATGTAGCTGTGGTGCTCTGGATTTCATGGGTTCCTAATTTTTAAAAAAAAAGATGACAATATTTAAATTATTAAAAGATCATCAGGACATAATTCCAAATGTTAAAAATCTTGGTGTCAAATTTGTAGACTATAATATTCCATTAGGCATCTTTGTTAAGATTAGAGATATATAGAAATCATTTTTACATTTAAGGTAAAATAAGCTGGTGCCATAAAATTCACATAGTTAAATGGCTACTAAATCAAACATTATGAATTTCCCTTATGTTTGACACACTGACCCTCAAGAACAGTACACTCTCAACATTCATGACCTGGGTCTGCTGACTCTTATCTCATTTCTCTCATTCTCAGAAGTTCTCTTCTGAACTGTATATTTCTGACAGAAAGGTTAAAACCAAGTCACAGAAAAGGAAGAATGAATAAAGATGGAGGTATGGAAACTTTGATAACAAGGTCTTTCATAATTTTTTTCACTGAGTCATCATTTACACATAATAAAAAATGCAGTTCTTAAGTGTTAGGTTAATGAGAAATAACTTATTTCCATAGTCTCTCCCTCAGAGATAATCACTTTTTACTTCTTTCACCTTTAGATTAGTTTTGTTTGTTCTTGGATTTCATATAAGTAATATTGCATAACATGTTTTATATGTGTATATCTTTTTTCATTCAATATAATGTTTCTGAGACTTGTCTATGATGATACCACAGTTTACTGTTTTTCATTACTGAGTATTATTCCACCAAAGTAATGTGTACCATTTGTTTACCTGTTTTCATACTGGAAACATTTGGATTTCCAGACTATAGCCATTATATGTTCTGTCCTCAGAGCACAGTAAGGGGAAACTATGTGGTTTAAAATCAGGAAAGATGTGTGTCAGGGTTATATGCTTTCACCATACTTACCAAATCTCTCTGCTGAGCAAATAATCCAAGAAGCTAGGCTATATCAAAAATGCAATATCAGGATTGGAAGAAGACTAACAATAGCAATATATAGATGACACAACCTTTCTTGCTGAAAATGAAGAGGACTTAAAGCACTTAATGATGAAGATCAAAGAGTACAGCCTTCAGTACGGATTACACTTCAAGAAAACAAAAATCCTCACAACTAGACCAATAAGCAACATCATGATAAATGGAGAAAGGACTAAAATAGTCATGGCTTTTATTTTACTTGGATGCACAGTCAACACACATGGAAGCAGCAGTCAAGAAATCAAATGACGTACTGCACTGGGAAAATCTGCTGTCCAATACCCAGAGACATCACTTTGAAAACTAAGGTGCACCTAACCCAAGGCATCGTATTTTCAGTAGTTTCATATGCATGTTAAAGCTGGACAATGAATAAAGAAGAATGAATAAGAACTGATGTCTTTGTATTATGATGTTGGCAAAGAATACTGAATATTACCATGGAATGCCAGAAGAACAAATAAATCTGTCTTGGAAAAAGTACAACCAGAATGCTCCTTAGAAGCAAGGATGGTGAGACTTGTTTTACGTTCTTTGGACATGTTATCAGGAAGGAACAGTCCCTGGAGAAGGACATTGTGCCTGGTAAGTAGAGGGTCAGCAAAAAAAAGGAAGGCCCTCAATGAGATGGACTGACACAGTGGCTACAACAATGGACTCAAACATAACAATGATTGTGAGGATGGTACAGGACTGGGCAGTGTTTCGATCTGCTGTACATAAGGGCACTATAAGTCGGAACTGACTTGACAGAACCTAAAAAAACAAGAAGTCATATAAAGCTACTACGAACATTTCTGTGCAAGTCTTATTGTAAGTAAAGATTTTAATTGCTATTGAGTATTTATCTATGAGTGGAACTGCTGGGTAGTAGAGGTTTAAAGAAACTGTCAGTTTTCCAAAATGTTTGTCTCATTTTATATTCACACCAACAATGTATGAGAGTTCAATTCCTCTATGTTGTTGTTGTTGTTGTTTTGTGCTGTTGAGTCATCTCCAACTCATAGCAACCTTATGCACAGCAGAACGAAACACCACCCAGTCCTGAGCCAGCTCCATCATCCTTGCTATACTTGAGCCCATGGCCGCTGCCACTGTGTCAATCCATCTCATTGAGGGCCTTACCCTCTTTCACCGACCCTCCACCTTACCAAGCATGACATCCTTCTCCAGGGAATGGTCCCTTCTGACAACATGACCAAAGTATGTGAGACGAAGTCTGGCAATTCTTGCCTTCAAGGAGCATTCTGGCTGCACTTTCTCCAGGACACATCTGTTAGTTCTTTTAGCAGTCTATGGTAGCATTAACTCTTCTTCAGTCTAACTTAGTCATTGTCCAGCTCTCACAAGGATATAAGGTGACTGAAAATACCATGGCTTGTGTCAGGTACCTTAGTCCTCAAGGAGACATCTTTGCTCTTCAGCACCTGAAAGAGGTCCTTTGCGGCCGATTTGCCCAGTGCTATACGTCATTTGATGTCCTGACTACTGCTTTCACTGGTATCGATTGTAGAACCAAGCAATGTGAAGTCTGACAATTTCAATCTTTTCTCCATTTATTGTAATGCTGCTTATAGGTCCAGTTGTGAGCATTTTTGTTTTCTTTATATTGAGATGTAATCCATACTGCAGACTGTATTCTTCAATCTGCATCAGTAAGTACTTCAAGTCATCCTCACTTTCAGCAAGCAAAGTTGTGTCGTCAGCACACTGCAGGTTGTTAATGATTCTTCCTCCAATCCTGATGCCACGTTCTTCTTCATATAGTTCACCTTCTTGGATTATTTGCTCAGCATACAGATTGAATAAGTATGGTGAAAGGATACAACCCTGACACACTCCCTCCTTGATTTTTGAAACCATGCGGTGTTTCCTTTTTCTATTCGATCGACAGTCTCCTGGTCTGTATGTACAGGTTCCTTATGAGTACAATTAAGTGTTCAGGAATTCCCATTCTTCTCAATGTTATCCACAATTTGTTATGATCCACACAATCAAATGCTTTTTCAGAGTCAATAAAACACAAGTAAACATCTTTCTGGTATTTTTTGCTTTGAGCCAAGATCCTCTATATTCTTATGAATATTCAAGATTCCTCCATATTCTTATGAATACTTGGTATTATCAGTTTCATTTTTAGCTACTCTAAAAAAATATAATAATCACTGCCATCAAGACTGTTCCAAATCACAGTGACCCCACTGGGTTTTCAAGACTATACATCTTTACAAAAGCAGACTGCCCTATTTTTCTTCAGCTGAACAGTTGGTGGGTTCCAATCATGGGTCTCTTGGTTAGCAGCCAAATGCCTTAACCACTACACCACCAGAGCTCCTGAATGGGCATCAAATATTTCATGGCAATATTAATTTACTTTTTACTGATGACAAATGATGTTAATAGCACCTTTACATGTGCTTACTAGCCACTCAAAGGTATTCTTTTTGTGAAGTATCTAAAGACTTTTGCCCATTTTTTATAGTCTTCATCTTTTTCTTACAGAATGCATTATGTATATAAATATACATTATATACAGAATATATATAACAAAATCACAAAAAAAAATACCTGTGAGTGGCTAGTAAGTACGTGTAAAGGTGCTTTTAACATCATTTGCCATCAATACAAGATAAATTAATATCATAATGAAATATCATTTCACATATATGCTGTATATAAAGGAGCTCTGGTGGCACAGTGTCTAATGCATTTGACAGCTAACCAGAAGGTTGACCATTCAAAGCCACCAGGCTCATAGAATGAAGATGGGGCAATCTACTTCCATAAAGATTTACCACCTCAGAAACCCAATGGGGGAACTGTGAGTCGGAATCAATTTGATAGCAGTAAGTTTTTTGGTTTAATTCTGTATATAAGTTCTTTGTCAGATATATATACTATGTATATTTTTCCTGTCTACAGCTTGATCATTAATTTTCTTAATGTTGTGTTTTGATTAGCAGAAATGTTTAAGTTTGATGAGGTCCAATTTATCCAATTTATCATTTTTTCTTTTTATGATAGTCCTTTGATAGTCCAAGAAATCTTTGCCTACCACAACAATACTACTGTTCTTTTAAAATACACCACAGGATTTTTGTAAGCACAAAAAATAATAAGCAAATATACATTTTATGTCCATCTCTGAGCACTGGTAAAAAACTGCTTTTCAAGAATTGATAATTCAAAGCTTATTAAATATAGTGCCTTCCTCTGTTATTTAAATCAGTGCTACGGAAGGAAATAGTCAAGCCAATTTTATGAAGTTCTAGAGTGGTCAGACATTTTTCTCAGTGCAGAACTATACATACACAGCCTGGCCGCTTTCTTCTTGGAGATAGCAATTATGGACTAGAGGCAGGAACGAGAAGGAAAGAAGCTTTGTTGTATAAGTGCTAGCTTTCATTCTACTTGTTGCTTGTGATTCTCTTCAAACCACTCATTTACAAAAAAAACAGATGTGATGTGATATTGGATACTACACCACTCTACTAGTTTATACTTGTTTTAACTGAAAAAGAACTGTGCTGAAAAATCCAATAATGTGGTGTTTGTTTTTTTATCCTTCCTTTTCTAAAAAAAAATATAAGATTGTTAATCAATCTAAAACAAAGTTAATTTGTTTCTAAATGTTGAATGCTCACACGGACCTAATGTGAAGTTCTTTTGTGGCCACAGTATGTTAAATTAGTTAAGTTTCACAGTAGAGGAAATTTGACCAAAAATTTACATCTGGTACATGCCTGCAATATAACCCAATGAACAAGGAACAAAAGTGTTAAATTAAAACCAGAAAAAAAAAATCTATTCTGTAGATACTTAACACTCTTGCAGACTGTGGTGGTTACATTTGTGTGTCAACTTGGCTAGGCCTGGTTGAGTGGCTGGGCAGCTGAATGTAGTTATTCCTTATGGTGAGACTGGTAATTAACACCATGGTAGAATCTATTGGAGCAGCTGAGTAGCTACTTTGGGTATGTGGTCTACTTCCTGTATATAAGAAACAGCTTTGGGAATGGTCTTTAGCTTATGGCACACTTGAA